TTGCATGCTCTCCTTACCCAGAATTAGTGGGTATTCTTAAAGGCTGCAGAAGAGCAAGTGGCTGTGAGGGGGTGCAGGTAAGGTCCATTAGGGGGACGGAGATGCCTTTTGCAGAAGCACTATCACTACATGACCATAAAGTGACTCTTCAAGTTCCATGGGAAGTAAAATACAAATTTTTACTAGCTAATGTGAAATATATCCTTTCTCCAGATACAAAAAAATGATTTGCCTTTTCCTCCTGCTGGTGGTGCATTTAAAGGGTAACTAAATTTTTGTGGGAAAAAATAGGAAATAGAAAAAAATATCCATATTGAATATACAATTGCTATGCAAGCCATATTAGAATTGAATATTATTAAAAATTATAAATGAAACACAAATGATGCAGCGCTACTACCATAAAAATTCTTCACACATAAATGAATAAAAGAAACAGTGCAACATTAGTGACACAAATAACATAAACACACAATATTAAATAGTGCCAAAAAACTCATAAATAATCACATGTGACAAGTGTCAATACGAGGTCCTAAAAGGACCAAATAACATAAATGGTGCCCCAAGTAATCCAATGGGATCCAATAGTGCTCCAAATCAAACAAGTAAGTCACAACAGGACTCAATGTGCTAAAAAAAAACCTCCCACCTGAACTAAAAATCAGTTCCCACCATATAACACAAAACACACGTGCATCCCAATAAACGCATATACTAAGAACTGATCATGCAAACAAACATGAATAAATGAATAAATATATAAAATGAATAAATGAATAAATATATAAAGTCCCGTGAGGTGTAAAACCAGATGGCATACAATATGGCATACTTTTGAGTGACATTTAAATTCCTCTTTGAAAATAGGTTTATTAAGCATTTTTCTTTCAGCCCTTGATAATTGGTTCAGCAGGGTTTTTACCTATGAGATTGTCTTTTTGAATTGAAGTAAGATGAGACATTGGATCTGAGAGATTATATAACTCAAAATAAAAATCTTTAAAACAGTGTGCAATTTCTAAAGATTTTGTGTGTTACAGCTTGCAGAGGAGTCAATCGTACTCCAGCCTGTGAGGCTGGAGTCCGAAGAGAATACACAAGGAGTCATCCTGCCCTATTATTATTATTATACAGGATTTATATAGCGCCAACAGTTTGCGCAGTGCTTTACAATGTGAGGGAAGACAGTACAGTTATAATACAATTCAATACAGGAGGAATCAGAGGGCCATGCTCATTACAGCTTACAATCTAAAAGGGGAGGGTCAAGTGATGCAAAAGGCAATAACTGTTGGGGATGAGCTGATGGAGAAAATACATGTACAGTGGTTAGGTGGAGGCAAGATAGGCTTTTCTGAGTTTTCAAGGATCAACTAAAAGTGGACAGAGTAGGAGATAGACAGATTGGGGTAGGGAATTCCATAGGATGGGAGAGGCTCAGGAGAAGTCCTGGAGCATGGGAGGAGGTGACAAAGGAGCTAGAGAGCAGGAGGTCTTGGAAGGGACGAAGAGAGCGATTTGGTTGGTATTTTGAGACTAGGTTAGTGATGTAGATGGGGGCCGAGTTGTGGGTGGCTTTGTAAGTTGATAGTATTTTGAATTGAATTAGTTCGGTGAATGGCAGCCAATGCTGGAATTGGCAGAGACGGGTGGTAGACACCGAACGGTTGGTAAGGTGGGTGAGCCTGGCAGCAGCATTCATGATGGACCAGAGGGGGGATAGCCTATGTACAGTAAAGGTAAGCCAAGGAGGAGGGAGTTACAGTAGTTTGAGGTGAGAGATAACCTGGGAGTGAATTAGGAGCTTTGTGGTATCATTGGTTAGGAAGGGGCGTATTTTGGAGATGTTGAGGAGGTTGAGATGGTAAGCTTTGGAAAGTGATTGGATGTGAGGCAGAAAGGAGAGTTGAGAGTCCAGGATTACACCTAGCACCCTGGCATGTGGGAAAGGGTTGATGGTTGTCTAATTGATCTTGACAGAGAAGTCAGGGGAAGAGGCACATGGGGGAGTAAATATTAAAAGCTTCATAAAACAGACGCCTACTAAGTAATTTAATTTTAGCTTTAGATAAAAGAATAGAGTTGGCTTGTTCCCGTAGGATGAGACATTTTATGTTACCCTTTAATAAAGTGAATACGCCATTACTTTTCCTTTTTAATCTACAGCACTTTCATTTTCTGTAACATTCAATGCAATATTTTAACCTAGAAGTGTCCTGTTCACAATTGATGTTTGGAACACTCCCAGAAATATAATTTCCTGTTTGTGTGATTGCCTCACGGATGTTCCCATAAGTCTGCAAGATATAAGTTAGATTTTAGGCATCCTCTGCAACAAAAATGTTATTTTTGATGCGATACTCCCAAAAGGGTTAATTACATCTAAAGGGATGAAGACACGGCACATTTCCTCATTAGAACACTGCAAGTACATCAGCTGATTTATAATGAAAAGGTAACTCCCATTCAGATTAATTCTGCACAAAGACCTTTTTCTTCAGAGCAGAAATAGGTAGGAATCTGCAACAAAGTTTGTTAAAATGCTTGCAATGTTCATTATTCACCCAGAGGGGATTGCTTTTTTTCTCAACAAAAAGGGAATTACTCTTTAACAAAGCATATTAAAGCTTTGTTACAACCTGTAAAATAATCCTTCATATACTCCCATTGCACTGTGATTTTGTTGCAACTATCAGTAAATGTTTCAAGCTGTTTAGACCAGACATTCTCAACCAGGGTGCCCAGGCATCCCGGGGTGCCTTGAGGTTTCTTCAGGGGTGCCTTGGCAAAATGTCTACAAATTGCTCAAAACGTTAATGCAAGCCAGCAGGTGGAACAAGCCTGATCTTTAGTTACACAAAGCCACAGGTTTTCATTGTGCACTATTACGACCTTCTAGACTCCGGCGTCCTGACAACCAATGACATCATCAGTTGATAAGGAGTATGTCGGCTGTCTGCATAGCTTCCTAGTTTGACTCTCCCCTGCCCCTCTCCATCAGTGCTTGGGTCACATTAGCCCAGTGATGGGGAAAAACTGAGGGAGAAGAGAAACCATGGAATACTGGTCAGTACCAGTGTGCAAAAGTATATTTGCGTTGGAAGATTAAATCACTTCTAATGTTGGGTGTCCTACGTGTGTGGATGTTGCTGCGTTATATAAAACTATTAGAATGGTTTTTCACATTTTAGAATAGGGTGCCCTTATAAAATTATGGACAGTCTTGAGGCACCCTATTTTGGAATGGGGTGCCTCAAGACTGTCCATAATTTTAAAGGGTGCCTCGGGACTGTCCATCATTTTAAAGGGTGCCTTGACTGAAAAAAAGGTTGAGAAACACTGGTTTAGACATCCCATTATTTTAACTCAGTTGCTCCAACTAAATTAGGTGTACTTTCCTTTTAAGCTTAGCAGAGGCATCGTACAATAATGCTTAAGAGCCAATGGACTATGGCCAAATAGCCGACTGGAAGCATTTTGGAAAGAATCAACTTTTAGGATCAACGTTTGGAAGAGCAAACATACAATATAACATTTTATAGCAAACATATGGGGGGAGATATAGTAAAACTGGCACACTCAGAATCTAGTGCAGCTGTGCATGGTGGTCAATCAGCATGCAACTTCAGTTGATCAGTTATGCTTTGTCAACAAAACCTGGACGCTGATTGGTTTCTATGCAGAGCTGTACCAGATTTTGCACTCTCCAGTTGTAGTAAATCTCCCCCATAATCTTATCCTAAAAAAGAATGATTAGCTGAGTAATAGGAGCTTGTTTTGGATTCAGAGTTGTGCACCCTCTAGTGATCTATTCATCTAGTATCTGTATATACTGGTTTATGGGAATAAGCATATTTCAAGTGATTTCCTCAGTACTGTTTCTAAGAAAATATCTGTCAGGTATAGGTAACATCTTTTAATAATAATATATCCAATATTTGCAATACTAATGTTAGCAAAATCACCATGATTTATTAGTAAAAGTGTGTAATTAAGCACTTTATTTCTTTCTAAAAGTAACAACAAATAAAGTTGCTTTAGGAATCCCAGTCAGCATTCAAACACAGTTAAACTAAATTCTGTCAATCATATTTGAAGTGGAAACTCCTGTGGAACACTTATTCAGTTGGACAATAACTAAAGGTTTCTATTCTTGGTGACCTGTTTTATTTAAGGATGCAAAACTATAAAGATTATTTATATATAGTAAGTAATCTTTTCATTTACTTGTATTTTTAGTTGTGAAAATCAGAGGTCATTTTTAGACATTGTTGAACATTTATGGTTGCTATAATGCACAGAAGCAACATTTTCATTAAAGTTGTAGGAAGTGGATGGGAAAACCCCAGGTCATTTAAACCCATATTTTTTGCATCCATTTCGTTAACACTTAATGGGTATCTAAACCCCAAAACAACAATTTCAATATACTGCAGCTTAATGCTTCTTAGATGTGCGGGTGTAACATACTCCTAGAGCTAATCCTAGGACAATACTCATTTGCTTTCTGTATTAGGGCACCAGAAACAAGATGGAACTACCGGATCCTGCCCCATCCCCAGTATTAGACCAAAAGGACAAAATAAAAGAAGTTTATTGTATGGTTTTATATTCTTTAATTATTCAAACTACCATGTTTTATATATATTGTTTGTTAGTTAATGCCACAGCCTATTCGATTGGTTCCGATAAGGAATTGGTTACATCATATTTTGGTCAAAATTGGCACATGATTCTGTACAAAAAAGAATGTTTTAACTAATATTGAACACCTATGGAAAAGGGTTTCAGTCAGTTTCACTCATCACTTAAGTGATGTTCCAAGTATGAAAATGAATGCTTAGATGATGGGTGAAACTGGCTTCAGTATTTTTACTATGCATTCTCTTATTGACTGATCTCTCTTGCACTCCTTTACTGCTATGGCATACTTCATCACGTTTATTTTTGACACAAATTAATTTTAATCCAGGTTTTTTTTTTTCTCTGCTTCCTAGGTCAGCTTACGCCCCTGACATATCTGATATACATTTCCGAGTCCTTCTCCGCTTTCCACAAAGGGTTAAAAATCGTGGCACAGCAGATTTTTTACCAGTGAAACCAAGGCATACCTGGGAATGGCATAGTTGCCACCAGTGAGTTCTGATTGCTTCTTATTACATTATCACCCTCTTTAACAGCTTTACTATTTGCACTTATCCTCCCTTGTATTTCTATTCAAAAGGCATTATCACAGTATGGATTCATTTAGTCATTATGACCTACTGCATTCTGCAACCCAACGTAAGGTGGCAGAGGGACACAAGGCCAGTTTCTGTTTGGAAGATACAACATGTGATTTAGGAGTGAGACGACGTTATGCCTGCACAGCACATACTCAGGTGATAATAAAGCTCTATAGGAATATTCACTTAAGGCACTCAAAACAAAATTGTCGTGTTCTACAAAATAATGAAAAACTTGAAATTAGGATATGCCACATAATACCTAGAGAGGAAGATATGTTGAAAGTATTTAAAGGGAAACTATAATGGTTCTGAGTCAATTATATTTTTGTTTTAGGCTCAAACTGTTTTTTTTAATTCTTTCTTATTTATATAAAATATTTTTAAGCAGAATGGAAGATGAGTCAATGCATTGGCTCATTCATTTGTGTGTGTGTGTGTGTGTGTGTGTGTGTGTGTGTGTGTGTGTGTATGTGTGTTAGTTTAAGCTTGAGCTATTCAGCTTTGTAAACAACATGATTTTTTTCAAAACAGTAACTAAGAATAGACAGATAAATATGTGAAAATGTTGTACATATTAATATGCAAACATTCGTAGCCAGTATTCCAGACACACTAGAATTAAAAGGGTAAACATATTTTAAGTTAAGTGTAATTTTTAGCTATGAATATATATATATACAGTATATATATATATATATATATATATATATATATATATATATATATATAGATATAGATATATATATATATAGATACAGTCAGGTCCATAAATATTGGGACATCGACACAATTCTAACATTTTTGGCTCTATACACCACCACAATGGATTTGAAATGAAACGAATAAGATGTGCTTTAACTGCAGACTGTCAGCTTTAATTTGAGGGTATTTACATCTAAATCAGGTAAACGGTGCAGGAATTACAACAGTTTGCATATGTGCCTCCCACTTGTTAAGGGACCAAAAGTAATGGGACAATTGGCTTCTCAGCTGTTCCATGGCCAGGTGTGTGTTATTCCTCATTATCCCAATTACAATGAGCAGATAAAAGGTTCAGAGTGCATTTCAAGTGTGCTATTTGCATTTGGAATCTGTTGCTGTCAACTCTCAAGATGAGATCCAAAGAGCTGTCACTATCAGAGAAGCAAGCCATCATTAGGCTGAAAAAACAAAACAAACCCATCAGAGAGATAGCAAAAACATTAGGCGTGGCCAAAACAACTGTTTGGAACATTCTTAAAAAGAAGGAACGCACCGGTGAGCTCAGCAACACCAAAAGACCCTGAAGACCACGGAAAACAACTGTGGTGGATGACCGAAGAATTCTTTCCCTGGTGAAGAAAACACCCTTCACAACAGTTGGCCAGATCAAGAACACTCTCCAGGAGGTAGTGTATGTGTGTCAAAGTCAACAATCAAGAGAAGGCTTCACCAGAGTGAATACAGAGGGTTCACCACAAGATGTAAACCATTGGTGAGCCTCAAAAAACAGGAAGGCCAGATTAGAGTTTACCAAACGACATCTAAAAAAGCCTTCACAGTTCTGGAACAACATCCTATGGACAGATGAGACCAAGATCAACTTGTACCAGAGTGATGGGAAGAAAAGAGCATGGAGAAGGAAAGGAACTGCTCATGATCCTAAGCATACCACCTCATCAGTGAAGCATGGTGGTGGTAGTGTCATGGCGTGGGCATGTATGGCTGCCAATGGAACTGCTTCTCTTGTATTTATTGATGATGTGACTGCTGACAAAAGCAGCAGGATGAATGCTGAAGTGTTTCGGGCAATATTATCTGCTCATATTCAGCCAAATGCTTCAGAACTCATTGGACGCCGCTTCACAGTGCAGATGGACAATGACCCAAAGCATACTGCAAAAGCAACCAAAGAGTTTTTTTTAAGGGAAAGAAGTAGAATGTTATGCAATGGCCAAGTCAATCACCTGACCTGAATCCGATTGAGCATGCATTTCACTTGCTGAAGACAAAACTGAAGGGAAAATGCCTCAAGAACAAGCAGGAACTGAAGACAGTTACAGTAGAGGCCTGGCAGAGCATCACCAGGGATGAAACCCAGCGTCTGGTGATGTCTATGCGTTCCAGACTTCAGGCTGTAATTGACTGCAAAGGATTTGCAACCAAGTATTAAAATATTGTAGAATGGCTGGAAAGTATGTAAGCAATTGGTTAGACTGGCATATAAGAGGGAAGGATGAGGAAGGTTTTATCTTGAAATAGAACATAGCTAATATTATTTGAGACAGCAGCCACAAATGTTCAGTGTGTAAGCAGCTTGGTCAGGTGACAATATAGGAGGAAGACACAGAGTAGGTTTATCTTGAAATTAACATTAGTGTTTATTATTTGAGAGATAATAGCCCAAAATATTGTTTAGTGACTGGACAATATGTAAGCAGCTTGGTAAGGTCGCAATGTAAGAGGGAGAGACAATACAGGTTTTATCATGATATAACAACAGATACAGATATTGTACAATAGCTAAACCATATGTAAGCAGCTCAGTTAAGCCATAATGCAAGAGGGAGAGCTGAGGCAGGTTTTATCTTAAAATATAAATCAGAATGTATTATTTGAAAGACAATATCCACACATATTTTTCAGCTGCTGGACAGTACCTAAACAGTTAGGTAAAGTCACAATAAAGCGATGAGAGATAAGGTAAGTTTTATTTTGAAATAAGCATTAAAGTGTATTATTTTAAGTAGCTACAAATATTGAACAATGGTCGGACAGCATGTAAGGCAATAAAAGAGGGAGAGATGAGGCAGGTTTAATCTCAAAATAAACAGCGTTTTACTCTAGAGACAATAGCCACAAATAGTATTCACTACGTAAGCAGCTTAGTTTGGCCACAATATAAGGGGAAGAGACAAGACAAGACATGAGATGAGGCAGGTCTCAGACATGAGAATGGGGAAAGGCAAGTTTTATCTTTTTTTAATAAAAAATAAATATTATAGTGTAATGTCAACACCGCTGAGTCCAGGCAGTTGTTACTATTTCTTCCTCAGTATATTGCGTCAGCCTTTTGGATTTAGTATATTGTATCCAGCTGTTTTTAGTGCTGACTATATTGTCGTTTGGGAATTTTTTATTAAACATTTTTTATGGTAATAGGTTCTTTTTGAAAGCTTTGAGGCCTAATGTAGTTCCAGGACATTCTTAATGTGGTTGTACCCCCCAAGCAGCAAACATTATTGTTAATTTAATGTGACAGCTTTGAGGTTGAGGAGTTACCCTGCAGCAAACATTAAACATTGTGTGGCACACCTTTAATAGTGACAAGAGCTGGTAAGGATAGCAGTTATCAGTTTTTTAATGTACAAATGATACTTAAAAGTTTAATCTGTGGCATCCACAGCAGGGGGTTTGTAGTCATTGATAACTCAAGATTGGTTAATTTTATCGACAGTGGCGTGGTTCATACTGTCAGGGGGCAGGCAGATTTGCCTCTCAGTAACAAAATCTCCTTCTGTGCTAAAGTCTCTCTCAGAAAGTACACTGGCTGCAGTGCAAGCCAGGAGCTCCAACACATATTGCACAAGTTCCAGCCAGTGATCCAGCCTGGACAATGCCAAACAGTTTTCGGAGTCCTCACTTCTAAGAATGTCCACATCAGTCCTGGACCCTATGTAGTCATACACTTAAATTTAACTTAAAGCTAAACTCAAAAGCATAAATGTATTATACTGCAGCTTACTGCTTTAGTTTTATTTTTATGCTTTTTCCTTATCACCTGGTAATCTGGATAGTAAGTTTGTTATTTTTCACTTCTTTTAAGGCCTCTTTCACACTATACATGCAGAAAAACTGATGGAAACTGATGTGCAGATATCACTTGCGAAGAGAATCAGTTTACATCAGTTTTCATGCACACTTCAATGAGCTTTATATATGTTGCAGATTCCTGCGCAAAAAAAAAAAAAAATCTGCATGATACTAGTGTTTTGGTTTGAACAGGGCACAAAGAGAACCATTGGCTCCATTGTGCCCTTACAGAACGTGTGCATAAAAACTCACATCTCTGCACCATGGTGTGAATGAGCCCTTAAAGACCAAGCTATCCAGCAAAAATAGCAGTTAGAGGGTTTAATGTTGACAGGCAAACTTACACAGTCAACATTTATTCATTTAGGCAAAACCTTTATCCCAAAAGGAAGAAAAACTTTCTGTAACTGCTTAAAAAGTGTTAGATGGAATTAGGCTTTAATTTGTTAGTCACTTATGTAAAGTCCATCTAACACTACCCTCTCCAGACAATGCTGATATCCAAGGGTGTCTCTGTTGCTCCTCCATAGATAAAGGAGCCACCCTAAGACAGGAAGTTTGTTACTGGCCAAACTGCCATGTGAAAATAAAGGTTAAAATGCTCACAAACTGAAAACAGCTATCACATCTAAGGATTGTTTTACATTTTTATTACATTTTTTGTTTTTGAGTTTAGGTATGTTTTAACCCTGAAAATGAAAGGATTTGCACTTTTATGTATGACAAGCCAAAACATTTTTTTCTAGTTTTGGGTAGGAAAGGATTGGAACAATTTCAAAAGGTACCAAAAAGTTAAATACAAGGAAGTGTATTGAGAAAGTATTTATTTATTATTTATTTCAGGTACTTATGTAGCGCCGTCAATTTAACAAGCGCTTTACATATATATTGTAAATTCACATCAGTCTCTAACCCTCAAGGGGCATACAATCTAAGGTCCCTAACTCACATTCATACATACACATACTAGGGCCAATTTAGTCAGGATCCAATTAACCTACCAGTATGTCTTTGGAATGTGGGAGGAAACAGGAGTACCCGGAAGAAACCCACGCAGGCACAGGGAGAACATGCAAACTCCAGGCAGGTGGTGCTGTACGCAAATGTTTTTGAAAATCTTGTATAAAAAGGTCAAACTACTCATTCTGTTAAACAAAAACCCCAGCGTGCCTATTGAAGTTCATGTCAATGTTGTCAAAGTATCCTATTATATGTCCGATAAACAATAGTCATGGCTAAGATGCTACAATGCCCTAGGAATAAAGTGCCTTAAATGACTACTGTACCTATGTTTTAAAATTAAGTATTGGAATGGGATGAGCACACATGTTAATTGAGCAAAAAAAAATTCTTTTTTTTTCCCACATAAAGACTAGATACACACAAATGTCTCTCATTTGGTCCGCAAGCAAACAGTAATTGCATCTGATTGCATGCAGTCAGTGTTCAAATGACAATTTTATACCCGGATCTATCATCAGTCCAGGATTGTCAAGCTGGGTGGTGTGGACTGTGCTGTAGTCTGAAATTTGAGCCGTGTATGACAAGTTTAAGTATTTGCCATGGCTTGCCTATCCTAATTCTGTTGCTTATGTAGCACTACCCCCTCAGGGACCACTGATTAATTTTCGGGTTCCCTGTCTTTCTTGACCAGGCTCTGGAAGCCCAACCCCTGCTGACACCACCTTAAACTTCTGGCTGCAACCATAGAATAGATGAACTGAAATTTTGGTTGTATTGAGATCAAATATAGGCACAGTAAAGCAACAGGAAAATATGTACATAAGATAACAGCTGTCACTGTAGTAATGTCAAGTAAAGGTCACAACGCAGCACAATCTCAATCAGTTCTAGATGTCCTGCAAGTCAGAATTTAAACAATAGCTCCAGTTCTGAGATGTTTCTTCCCCAGTGAGTCAAAAAAAACTACCAAGAAGAGAGGCTAACTCACTTCTGGCTCTCAGTGGCTGAGCGTTGAGTCTAATTCTGAGAAAAAGAAGGACTTTTCAATTAAATAGGCCAATGTCTCTTTAACTGAAGTGTCTTATCTTCTACGCGCTCGATGGGGCCCTAGTTGGTGTACATAAGGATTCAAATCTTCTTTGAGGCAAAGGTAGAAGTTCCTTAATAGAGGGTGAACACAAAGGAAGGGAGATGCCCCTCTAAGTGATATTGAATTTGAATGACACCCCTTTGGCAAACACAGGGTGATGAGTAAAATATGACAGAAATTTAACAATGGGCACAACACACTTCTGTAGAAATTGGTTCTTCCTTGAGCCACAGTGGCAAACTGTAGCAATGGAGGAGCATCGTGGCAAATTGGCAGACTGCAATGGGGGAAATAATACAGCTGAGCCTGTGGAGGGCAGATAGTGCACTAGACCCTTGTGATTGGATATGCTGGAACAGTAATAACTAATAGACCAAACAGCCTGGGCCTTAACATGTGTAACTTGAGAAAAATAGTAGTCAAGCTGAGTAGAAAGTTCCTGGATTTTGTAATGTCATGTGCAACTTGGATGACTTGAGTATGGAATTCTCTCACATGATCTGTGGCCTCGATCCGGTGGCAGATGGTTTCTCTGTAGATGGGGGGCCCCATTTCCTCATGGTTCCTCCTTCAGAAATCACTCTGGCTGGCAGCTCTCTGACCCACTTGCTCGCAGGGCTGTCCGCCAGACATGTCAGCAATTCCTCCTCTCTCCTCTATTCTCTGCAGTCTGGCCCAGCTTGGACCACCGGCATCCCACACGGTCTTCCCCTTACACCTGCTCTCTAGCTCTCTCCATCCACTACTTGTCCTTGAGTTCCCAGGCTCCTGTATTTTTCCACCCCCACCCATCCCAGTCTCTGGGAAATGTAGTTTGTTAACTCCCTTTTAGACAGTGAAGTCCTGCAATTAGCCTATGAATCCCACGTAGGCTTTTCAATAGGATCTGTATATCTGGGTTGCAGGACACTGCTATCTTGTGTTCATTTAAAATCCTGCAAATGGTATTACGGCAGGGTGTTACACTTACATCATCAATAACTGATCATCCAAGGTCCTGTGAAATATATCAATTTCAGAACTCCTGCTCCTACCTACTTGTTACCAGTCAGTGGCTCAGAAAGTATATGACAAATTTGCATTAGAAAAAGGCAACTAATACCTGAAGTAAAATCCATCAATGTCATCCCACGTACTGTATTTCTCCAAGGATGGTTTCCTTTGCGCTTACCCCAATTATATAACTCAAAAAATTTAATTTACTCTTAACTCCCTAATTCTATAACTTCCTTGAACATTTGTCCCCTAAATCATTACGACTGACCCTAAAACTCTCCAATAATGTACACTTATCTGACTGGTTGCCTTAAATATGGCACTGAATCCATGTAGTCCATACACTACTATGTTTGAAAACAAACTGCATCATTCACAAAATAAATTATTTTTCAAGATGGGGGGTGGCTAAATTTTTCCCTCCTGAACCAGGTGGTCTGTTTACATTTTCAAACAAATCTATGCCATTGTATTAAGACACAACATCCCTAAAGTCTAAAATTAAAAATGTAATATATAGCAACATGCAGACACCAAAATAGAAAACTAAACATAGATTTCATATCTAAAGTCTAAACCTAAAAATGTCATATATAGCAACATACCAGACTTAAGATGCGGTGACTATGTTTAGTTTTGTATTTTGGTGTCTGCATGTAGTTTTTGGCTTTTTTTTCTTTTCTTTTTACCTAATGAAGTCAGTAATACACTTCTTGTCCTAGGGCAACACCACTAACTCAATGTATTGCATCTATACAGGATTAGCGTTGTCACCCTAGGCTTATCTCCTGATTTGCATATAAATACAAAAGCAGAGAGCGCAGATTCAAGTGTAGTAAAAACATAACTTTACTGAAAATTTAAAAAGCCAAATGGGTACTCACGTGATGAAGAGACGAATCAAGCCTGTCATCCACAACAGTTCAGAAAACTGTGTGATCATTCAAATCTCACTGACTGCAACACGTTTCAAAGCCAATGGCTTCTTTCTTTGTTTGCTGTCCTAATTTGGAAACCATACTTCTTCCATTTTTAACATATCTACTATAAGAAGGAGGTGTTTTGTGGTTCACATAAGATAGCTGGGAACTGGAAGCCGGACAACATTATTTGAGCTTTCAGTTTAGTGCATATAAAGCTACCAGGAAACAAGGTTTCTGGCAGGATCAACAGTTATTATTCTATACTTGCAGATAAAGTACTTAGCCTTGAAAAAGAAAACTAGTGCAGTCACATCTCAGAACTAGTGAGCTGTGATATATTACATTTTTATTTTTCAGTTTAGATAAACTTCAAAGGCTGATTTGGCTTTAGATAATTCATGACCATGGATTAGGGTAAACAAAAGGAAGGAAGCTTTTTTTTTTCAAGTAGCTCAGTGGTTAGTTGGAAGGGTTGAAAGGGTATGTGGGCGTTAATTTCCAGAGTTCAGCTTTTAAAACCTCCAGGAATAATTAGTTTTTAAATATTTGCAGCACACAAGGCATTCTGTCCTCCCCTCCTCTCCACTTTTTCTTTTACAGCATGTTTTTTTATGCTGTGATTGGGTTTACAGAACACAAAGGATTCAGTGAATGGACAAGGGGAGAGGAGCGGCAGAGAAACACCAAGTGTACAGTGTGGGAGAGTCACAAGTCTCCTGTCAGGGGCATGGTGAAATCTATACTCCCAAGCATCAATGAAAACGTAGATTGTAAAGAACAGGGAGCAATCCAGAAGGTGGCATAGGCCTCCTGAGATTTAACTAATTGTAAGACCACAGATTTAAAAAAAAATATTTTTCTGGAGTTTCTGAAGTTATATATTATTATTATTATTATTATACAGTATTTATAAAGCGCCAATAGTTCGCTCAGCGCTGTACATTACAAAGGGGGACAGAACATGTAACAAAACAATACCAATACAATGCAAAACATGAGGGGATTGAGGGCCCTGCTCTTTCGAGTTTACAATCTAGGAGATTTTAATCTAGCTTTTAAATGGTAAGCATGATCATGAAAATAATATCATTTGTTGATTCTCTCCATACAAGATGATAACCAGAGTAATACTGTGTTCTTGTATTTCAGGGGCTTAGCCCAGGCTGTTATGATACATATCATGCCAATATTGACTGTCAGTGGATTGATATAACGGATGTTCCCCCTGGGAAGTATATCCTCAAAGTGAGTAGAGAAGGTATTTTATCTACATGAACCTATATTTGTAAAAGTTTTTGTTATACAAACCAAATCAAAATGATTATTTCAGGTCTCCGTGAACCCCAATTTCCAAGTCCTGGAATCAGATTTCACTAATAATGCTGTGCGTTGTGACTTGACCTACACGGGGACCTATGTAATAACTCGTAACTGCCATCTTATAAGGTAAGGATTTTCATTAAGTAGACCTTTATTTGTGTATGTGTGTGTTTTGGGAGTAGGAGTGATATAGATTATGTTGGGTACTGGCATTCTATTTAGTCCTCATGCATGGACGTTTTTACAGCTGCTGTTTTTGACCAAAAACATTTTTTTTCTGGTAAAAAAATGCTAAAAAACGCAAACGTTAAAAAAAATGCGGCTAAACGCTAATGCAAAAACGCTAAAAAATGCAGAAAAACTCACGTTTTTAACGTCACTTTACCAGTGTTATTAAAATGCCCAGTGTGCATGGAGCCTTATGGTATCTCACACTTGAAACAATTCTGAACAGTACTTTCTAGGACCAGATGTTCACTCTCACAGTCAAGTTCCTAGAAGCTTTTTGCATTTTTTTTTCTGTATAATCTCTGTTTATTGTTATAAAACAAAATAAAATTGCAAAAACAGCATAGATAGTCAAGGACAGAGACAACAATACAGTTTACAAAATTAGAGATTCTGTGTCGGTAAGACCGAGCACCTCTTCATTAACCACCCGCTGCTATGGGCCGCAGGGATAGGTGCCACTGAGGAAGAGGCAAGTCCACGAAACGTGTCAGCCTATTGGATGCCTACACTCCCTTTTGCAGACAGTCATGTAGCACAGTTTTGACCAAGCTGCTCTTTTATGACGTGCCTTTGACTTTACTGTCGTTTGTGAGTACAACACCTACTTTATTTCTTATTAAACATTTTTTTTATGGTAATGCACTAGGCCCATGCACCCTCTGTTTGTTCTTTCTTCATTCAGTATATTTGGAGTCCCTGGTCTTTTGAGGGCAGCAAGGTGTGCATATTCCAGGACATTCATGATGTGGTTCTAGCCTACATTGTGGCCATCCCCAAGGGCAGGTTTGTGTTTGCTAGTAGGTGCCATTAGTACCTGAAAGGCCAGTGGGCGTGCAGAAGCTACATCTCTACACAGGACCACTGGGCTCCAAATGGGCAACTGAATTGTAACCAGATACAGCCCATATGAGAAAGTATGACATAGCATTGACCCTTGTCCTAGCGTGAAATAAAATACAAAACACAAACATACAGTAAAAAAAAAAAAAAGAGGCCGGGACCATTAAAGCAAAACCATGATAAGGAGAAAGCTTTTTGCATTTTCTCAGAAATCCCTAACCTACAGGCATAAATAAGTACAGGTAGTAATAAAGTAAGATTTTTGCTGCCTTGCCTAAGTGGCTTAATAGCAATAAAAAAAAGGAAACTACCCATAGAAATAATATTTTGATTGGTCTGACTAAATAAAACTTACATTACTTTTACACTATGTATTACACACCACTATAGGGCCAATTTACTAAGGTTTTGCTTGCGTTAAAGAGGAACTTCACCTTTAGGCTCTGTTCACACCAATGCATTTTTAAGGCTACGGTCACACCTATGAAGTTTGCATTTGATCTGTTTCTGATGTGCTTTTTGTGGTTTTTGCACAACACTTTTTTTAAAAACATTTAAAATTTTGTTTTTTGGCCAACTTGTTGCTGGACGGATTAAAAATGCAAAACGTGCGAAAATGCTTGCAAAACTCAGCGCTTGCATTTTATATGCGGTTCCATTGAAGTCTATTGGACTAAAAATGAAAACTGCTGCGGGAAGAGAAGTTCCTGACCCTTTCCAAAAACTGCATAGATGTGAACGTGATCCATAGGAAATCATGATAAATGGCATGCACTGTGTTCCTGCAAAACGAATGAGAAAAACGCACAGGTGTGAACCTGGCCTTAGTGTTTGCAGAAACGCACTACAGTCCATTTAACATGGTTTCCTATGGGACACATTCACATCTATGCTTTGTTGAGCTGCTGCGTTTTTTGGAAAGGGTGTGGGACTTTCTTAAAAGAAAAAAGCAGAGTTTCTGCTACAATGGAATTCAGTGGAGAAGCTGCTGAAATGCATGGTAGTGAGTTTTTGCTGCTTTATTGCCATGTTTTGCGTTTTGCATTTGTATTATGCCCAGCAACAAAAACATTTCCACTTGAACAAAAAAAAAAAAAAAAAAGCTGAACAAAACGCAAAACATGGTAAAAAACGCATCAAAGACGCATGTAAAACGAACTGCGAAAAGCACTGCAAAACAAATATAAAGGAAACTGAATAGGTGTGAAGGAAGCCTAAGGCCTCATTCACACCATATATGCAGAAAAACTGATGGAAAATGAAGTACAGATTTCACTTTATAGAGACATCAGTTTACATGTGTGCTTCAATGACTTTTATACACATTGCAGTTTCTTGAGCAGAAAAAAATCTGCCCATGATAAAGTTGATCCAGGGAATATCCGATCACGTCTCGGGGGGGGGATCAGGAATGATTTAATTTTTCCTGCAGGAGCAAATTGGATCATGCTTTGCTGGGTTTTTTGCCTTCCTCTGGATCAACTGTGGGTATAGGATTTTTTTTAATGGTTGAACTGGATGGACTTTTGTCTTTTTTCAGCCAGACTAACTATGTCTATGACTATGTCTGCTATGATACTAGTATGGTGTGAACAGGGCACATAGATTGTTGTGCCCTTCCTGAACACGGGCAGAAAAACTGACATCTCTGCACCATGGTGTGAACGAGCACTTAAAGGGAGGTTCAGCTGATCCTCCTCCTCCAAATTTGGAACTTTTTTTTTGGGGGGGGGGGGGGGGAGTGGGTACCTAGTTGTCAGGTACCTGCTCCCACTTCCACTGGAATTGGCTAGGGCAATCCCAACTGAAGCCCCCGCCCCCCCCTCTCTGCGCACAACCTCCTAAGATACGTCAAAGGCTCCAGTAAGCTACAGGATCATTCACAAAGTGCAGCACCACTCGTGCATGCACAGTAGGGAGCCGGCTGTGAAGCCACAAGGCTGACTTGACTGAAGATCCTATTTAATAATCCGTTTTCTTTCTCTATGTAGGTTCCTTGTAAATTATCCCATTTAACAGAACTGAATAGGGCTTCTTATGCATGAAATCCAGACCTGCATCTTTAGTAGCATTACAGTAGCATGTTAAATTATATTGTTACATTTGATTGTCCTGTCATGTAAAATTGTTATTTACAAAAGGAAAATCTCATTCATCATGCGATATTTGGGTATTAATTTTATCATCTCCCATGGGGTGTCATTATTATGAGATTTTTACAGCATTTTACTTATCTTCGTACCTTGGCTAGGTAAGTTGAATATATTAAAGCCATTTTCAAATTCTACACAAAAGTAATACTAATAGAAGCAGACAAAATGTAGTGGGTATTTTCTGGATGGTTTTTGGTTCTTGAACAAATCCTGATGATTTTTCGGATATCAAAGTTGATAACCATTTGAGTACCGGAGCCATTTTAAGCCAGAAATGACAGAGTGCTATTACACATGTACGTGCATGTGCACGAAACGCGTCGGGTGGAGCCTACATTGCTGACGTTAAGCAGCCGCTGTCAAAGGACAGAGTGGTGGCCATTTTGTGGTTGAGCTATCTTCTTTAGGACAAGGGTCCCTTCATCCATCTACGTCCCTATGGAGCTATATGGTTAACTGCCTGGCTGCCTCTCCACCTCCATATGTGATTCACTATATGCTTGATATTATATACCTTCTGGTGAGTGTACACCCATCCGAGGTGGTGGATTTCCCTGTGTGATTGTTCTGTATTTAGTACTAAGCCCGGGACAAGCTCCTTGGCTTCCGATGCTTCTACAAATCAATCCATAGGATGGAAGTGAAGGCAAATACTATGCTTCTGCAAACTGTTTACATTGGAAGTGTAGTGATGTTGCCTCACTTCCTGTCATTACAAAGCCTAGGCAGAGTTGTTGCAGCTCTGTCCAGCCCATCTCTACAATAGTAGATTACTGCCATAATGATCTATTGCTGGCTGATGCTAGCCAGCAATAGATCATTATTACACTTGGCTTGCTGCATGGGGGAATGGGGGTCTGGATCTGGTCTAGATGTAAAAATGAAAATATTTGAACAGGCAGATATTAGATCTTTTTTCAAATAGTACCTACAGATAAAGGTGATATACTTGGGTAAAAACACAGGAAAACATGCCTTTCAATAATATATTCAACAATAATATCAATAGATGTAATGGTGTACTGCCTCAGAAGGTATTGTATCTTTCTGAAGAAATAACCTCTCAAACGCATGCTGCTTAACAGTCTAACATTGAAACTTTCGAACACTCCTCCATGCATAATTCATTCATTTGCAAGATGTTTGTGGGTTTCCTTGCATGAACTGCCCATTTCAAATCACTCCACATTTCAACAGGATTCAAATCAGAGCTTTGACTCTTCAGTTCGTAACCCCCTGTTTATTCTTTTTGAACCTTTACATTGAAGTTATGTGTGTGCTCGGAATTAATATTGTTTTGAAAGATTAATTTCCTGTTCAGCTTCAGTTTTTATATAGATGACCTCACATTCTTATTAAGCACACCTTAATATAATGAAAAAATAATAGCTGACCTATTAGCTGCAAGCTGCCCAGGCTCTTTCTCAGCAAAGCAAACCTTAATATTTCCACCATCATGTTTCACAGTTGGTATAAGGTTCTTCTGGTGATGCTGTCTTTAGTTTGCCCCAAACATGTCTACTTTTACTGTGACCAAACATCTCTATTCAGTAAATGATTAATCAATCCATAGCACATTGTTCCAGACCTCCTGATCTTTCAATGGAAAACTGTAGTCTTTTTCAAACACAAAGGCTTTTTTTCTCGTGCAGGTTAAATTGGCGCAATCTGTTTTTGATTGTAGGTGCATGCATTTTGGCACAACCTGTTACATGATATACCTATAGATCCTGCCATAACATTTTGGAGTTTTATTTTAACATTAGTCAGCTTTTGGTCTGAACTTGTTGTGTTGTCAAGTCCTGGACAAATGAGTTCATCTACCAAAAACCTCAAGGTCCCTACAAAATAATAGTAGTATTCTGGGAGTCCCTAATCATAATGACACTGCAAAGCCAAAGAAGAA